CAGTCAAGAATACTGGAGTGGCTTGTCATTTCCTTCTCCAGGGCAGAAGTATTTGTCTTTAAGGAATAAGGACAAATAAGGACAAACACTTATATAGTATTTGTCTTTAAGGAACAAATACACAATAATCCTATTTACAATATACAGGTAAAAGTGTCAGTTTTAGAAACAAATTTACAAACCAGAGTCACGATTTACTATTTACTATATAAGATAAAACTGGCAGGAAGACTAATATTGTTTGGAGATCTTACAAGTAGGGAGTGAGGCCAGATCAAGTGAGTTTGGATAGCAGCTTCATCAGTTATTAATTGGGCAAGTAACTTAACTTCTCTATGCCTCGCTTCACTCCTTTGGTAAATGGAGATAATGAAATCATGTGAGAGCTAATATAGATAAAGAACCTGGAATAATATGTGACAAATAAAACACTGTATGTGTCAAAGATTATTCTTGAGTCCATCCATAAGAACAAAGAATAGCTAAGAGCCTTTATTACTCAGGATAGACAAAACAATGTTTTAAATGAATTTCATATAGAAGAGATCATTGTGTAGTGAATGAAACAGAAAACTCAATTTTTTACAGAGTCATACACTCTGTCTTGCAAATGACAGTATGACAATAATTAGATCTAAGTGAAGTGGTGCTGTGAGTACTATGTTATACACAGTGCCTGTGCCTTTCACACACATGAAGCCCCTAATAAAGATCAACTTCCTGTCACGGTAAAAAAAAATAAATTTTCTTGCCTTTCATCGTTATAGGTAATTCTAGATAATCTTTGAATTTCATAAAAATCTAAGTACTCTTTACTTCAAAATAGACATAGTGTTACCACAAAACTTCATTTTCCTTGAAACCATGTAAATCACAGTAATCTGATTTGAAGGGAAAAAAATTCTCTCCAAATTCTCTTAAATTCTGTGACTGAAAATAAAATAGATTTGAAAGCAAGTAGATATGGATTCAAATACTGGCTCTACCATAAACTCCTCCATCCTGTGAAAATTATGCTTTCTAAAATTATTATAATTTTCTAATTTATCATCTGGAAATTGGGGAAATCCCTTGCTTTTCTTCCTTCCCTATTCCCTTTTCTCTCCCTCTCTCTGTCCTTCTCCTTTACATTGGTCTCCTCTTTCTTTTTACTTGGTTTCAATTTAATCCTCCTAATGAAAATTGTGGGATTCTCCTTTCAGTTCACTCAGTCATTTGGTCATATCCAACTCTTTGCGAACACACGGAATGCAGCACACCAGGCCTCCCTATCCATTACCAACTCCCAGAGTTTACTCAAACTCATGTCCATTGAGTCAGTGTTGCCATCCAACCATCTCATCCTCTGTCGTCTCCTTCTCCTCCTGCCTTCAGTCTTTCCCAGCATCAGGGTCTTTTCCNTAAGAGTAGTTATGAAAAACAATATTGGTCAAATTGCAGTTTGCACATAATTCAGCCACCTTTCTTCTTTCATCATAAGATTCACATTCTTTAAAATCGCAGCTTTACAGAATGATGAAGTCTTTTCAGTATTCATCATTGCCACTGTCTCAGAATCACAAGGCTTCTTGGTGACAAAAAGCTAGTTAATCATATTTATGATGACAACCATGACTGTTATAAAACAGATATTCTTAGAAAGCATGCCGTTTTCTTTACATTAAAACCTGTTGAACGTGCTCTTCCATCCCCTGAGGATTTGAAGATAGATTATTGTTCTTTCAGGAGAGGAATAAAGAGTTAGCACAAATCTAACAGTAGCCACTGTTGATGGTGGAAATGGACCAAAGTTGGGATTTTGTGTTCTGTTTGTTTTATCATTTACTCTTCTTGTCTCTTTCATTCTTTCAAACATGTGGATAAAATCCATTCTCTAGAGTTTACTCATTCAGTCACATTCTAAAGTTTCTGGATTGTTCCCTGTGCACTTAGTAGAACAAGAAATTCAAAAGAAGACAAAATCTGGGCAGAGGCTGAATTTACTCATTAACTAATGTTCGAACCTAATTATAGTCAAGAGATAAGAACTTAAATTACATCATTCAAAACACATTCATTAAAACTTTTCAGAAATTCACATGGCAGGTGCAATTGACTGTTTTTAAGAGATGTTTAGCTGTTCAAGATTTAAAGAGAGTTGTCTTTTTATTTTAAAGTCAGATTCAAAAAGTAGATGAGAGAGATTAAGAGATACCAACTTTCCATCATGAAATAAATGAATCATGGGTATGAAATGTACACTGTGAGGAATATAGTCAATAATTATGTAACATCTTTGTGTGGTGACAGATGGTAACTGGACTTAGTTTGGTAGTCATTTTGAAGTGTACAGAGATATCAAATCACTGTGCAATGTACCAGGAACTAAAATAATGTTGTAGGTCAATTATACTTCAAAAACAAGCAGATGAACAAACAAACTTGTAGAAAAAGAGATCACATTTGTTCCTAGCAGAGGCAGAGGGTGGAGACAAGGGGGATTGGACCAAGGCAATAAAAAGGTACAGACTTCCACTAAGGTAAGTACTAGGATGCAATATATGCAATATGATAAATTTAATTAACACTGCAAAACATTCTACATGAAAGTTGTCAAGAGAGTCAAGCTTATAAGCTCTCATCACAAGGACATTTTTTTCTGTTTCTTAATTTTTTGATCTGTATGATGTGATGGATATTCATTAAACTTATTGTGACAGTCAAATCACTGTGCTGTATACCTTAAACACACACAATGCTGTATCACAATAAAACCGGAAGGAAAAAAAGAAATATGTTTTATTTCTTATATAATTCTTTTCAGTAAAATGTAATTTCTACTTAGTGAATTTAGAGCTATAGTTATTCCTTTTAGAAATTAAAGAAAGAAAGAAAGTGAAGTCGCTCAGTTGTGTCCGACTCTTTCTGACCCCACGGACTGTAGTCCATAGGCCCCTCCGTCCGTGGGATTTTCCAGGCAAGAGTACTGGAGTGGGGTTGCCATTTCCTTCTCCAGAGGATCTTCCTGATACAGGGATTGAACCCCTATCTCTTGTGGCTCCTGCATTGCAGGCAGATTCTTTACTGCTGAGCCAGGGAAGCCCTTAGAACTTGATAAACACCCTTAATTCAAGTTTTCTCTATCATCTTATCTGTTTGTCTCTCTGACTGGGTACCATGAACACATAAATTCACTCATCTGTCCATTCCTATCTAAGTATTGATAGTATTTCTGCTGTAGAATTTATAACTTTGCTACCTTTGTTGAATAACTTTTACTTAAAGGTCATATGTTCTCTCATGTTGTCAACATATTTTGGAGCTATATAGACTAGTCTATTTAGCAAATATAAAAGAGAATAAAATTCTCAGAAATGTTTCAGTAATACTCTAGTTTATGAATTACTATGCAAAAGCAGAAATGCATGAAATGCTGTCTTGTCTTTCATTTTACTTTTTACTTTTTATTTTTGGTTATTAGATTAAAAACCTTTTCAGAAATAACATTTTATTATTATAGAAGTAATATGCTTTAAGGGCTTCCCTGGTGGCTCAATCAGTAAAGATTCTGCCTGCAGTGCAGGAGACCTGAGTTCGATCCCTAGGTTGGGAAAATCCCCTGGAGAAAGGAATTGCAACCCAATCCAGTATTCTTGCCTGGAGAATTCCATGGGCAGAGGAGGCTACAGTCTGTGGGGTCACAAAGAGTTTCACATGACTGAGTGACTAGCATCAATATATTTTAAGAATATAAATATTAAGATATGTAAAGTATGAAGAAAGTGAAAAATACTGATACCATGTCTATTTACCATTTTCACATTCACATATGTATTTCCCACTTTGTTTTACACACAAACATAAAAACAGTTTTTCAATAGTTTGATTGATATGGCATTTGAAATTTTATATACTGAACTTTTTCACTTTCTAAAAACATTTTCCTTTGAAAATATTATTTTTGAAACTATATAATATCATATTACAAAGCTATGTATCCTAATTTAATCTTTTCACTATTATAGAGCATTTATTTCCAAATTTTCCTATTGTAAGTAATGCTGTAGTGAATATCTTTGCATATAAATTACTGTTCATATTTCCATACCCTTATGAATATGTATTATATTTAAAGTGAAATTAAGTTATTAAGGATATTTAAAAAACTATTCTACTTGTATAGGAGAAAGAACACAAAGATTAAACACTGACCACAGATATTTGTCATGTTGTGATTAAGCTCTACTACAGTAAATTCCTTATGGAAGATGACATAATGTAGGAGACTGTTTTTGGTAAAGTAATACATCTCTAAAATATGTATGCTGCTTGATTCTTGTCTCCAAGTAGATCTATAACTGTCAGCTACTATTGAAATTATTTTTTTGGTCTAAGAACATTAGAACATTAAATTCTGAAAGTAATAGGACATAATATATGTCCTGTTACAGATGTTTTTTAATGCCCATATAAATATTAATTACACAGGACAGACAATGCAGAGCTATGAGTCCCAAGGAGTATTCTGATAGCAACTTTAGAAGAAAGGAATCATTGCATTTTAAATACTTCTTTAGATTTACCTAAAAATGAACTATAAAAGTTTCTAACATTATGATAAATTAAAGGCAATTACTTTTATGTACCTTTTCATGTCTGGAAATTCTGTACTATTTCTTCTAACCATGCTGAAGTAGAGGAGGGCATGGCAACCCACTCCAGCATTCTTGTGTGGAGAATCCCATGGACAGAGGAGCCTGGCAGGCTACAGTCCTTGGGGTCACAAAGAGTTGGACACGAGTTAAGTGACTTAGCATGCTGAAGTAATTAAGATTGGAACATGAATAAACTCTGCTAATGGGGAAAGCGTATCAAAATCTACATGGGTTTGGTCTAAGTAATGGGACTCAATGAAAATAAAGTTGGTGCCTTAAAGGTACTTAAACATAGTCTCAGTGTTTACTCACTTTGATTCAATTCTTTGCTTTGATATTTTCACTTTATCTCTTATACATATTTAGTGCCCGGATCCATCATGCAAACAGGACTTGTTGGCCTACCTGGAACAGATTAAGTTCTACTCTCACCAGCTGAAGATCTGCAGTCAAGTTAAAGCTGAGATTCAGAACCTGGGGGGAGAGCTTATCATGTCAGCGGTGAGTACTGCATCACACTTACACATCACATGTGGAAGATGCTTGAAACAGCAGCTACAACCCACCTTACCCCACTAATTCTTATAGGGTCACGTAGGTTAGAAGAAATTCAGCTGGAGTATATAAACTTTCATGAAACTGGAATAGCAAGAAATCATGTCAGATTTCTTAAAGAAATGTTAAGTCAGTACAGCTTCTCTTTATTTACTTAGAAATTTTTAGAATGAATCAGATTCTGGAAGCCACTTGTATAAGGATTGAATGTTAATTTAGAGAATGGTATCCAGATTTCAGAAAGTATACAGATGCACCTCTGAATTGAATCCTTTAATTTTTATAAAAAAATAAGTGCCTATAGAATTGCAGATCCATGCAATAATTGCTTTCTTACTGTTAAGTAATATTCATTTTCCCATCACTCATTTTTATATCATAGAAATTCAGGTCTTGAAGCTGTTATCTCATATGTAATTGTGACGCTGGAGTATGGTAGAACATAAACAGATTTAGAGAAACTTTCGTAGACTATTTGGTGACCCTGAGTTTCAAATTGCTCTAAAATGACCATGGTGAAAATTATGTCTACCTCTTCTACTCATCTTTTAATAGCAGTAGATCATTTTTTTAGAGTGAGGATGGCAATAAAATAACATTTGATATCTATATTTGATTCAGTTATCAGTGACTTTGAGAAGGACATGGACCAAGATTATAAATTTAAGTTAAATCAAAACATCATAAACCTTCTAGGAACTTAAATTCATGAGGACAGATTTTTTAAAATTATAACAGCATAAATATAGATATGTACATCTAGGAGCTCTCTAGCCTGACTTTGGACTTTCCCCCAGTGAGCTAACATTTAGTTTTTAAATTTTTATTTATTTGGCTGCACCAGGTCTTAGTTGCAGCAGGTGGGATCTTTAGGTGTGGCATTCAAACTCTTAGCTGCAGCATGTGGAGTCTCGTTTCTTGACCAGGAATTAGACCCAGACCCCCTGCATTGGGAGTGTGGAGTCTTAGCCACTGGACCATGAGGTAAATTCCTAAACTAACATTACAGAAAATAAAAAAAAGAACATAGCATCAAAAACAAAGGCAAAGGTGATTTTCTGTTGGTCCAGCAGTTAGGACTTTGTGCTTTCAGTGCCAAAGGCCCAGGTTCAATACCTGGTCAAGGAACTAAAACTGTGCAAGTACAATGCCCCACTTGAAAAAAAGTCCACTAGGTTTATATTAGTGAATACCAGAACTGCAGTTTACCTTCAAATGTCTATGCAGCCTCTGTTCAGGTGGACATGCTTAAATCTATGATAAACTGAAGACCAAAAATTAAAAGTGAATAATTTGGAAATTATGCCTAAGTAATTATTAGAGATAAAAAATTAATTTCCTTGATATTTAAATTTTGCAAGAACAGTAACACCAACCAACATAGCCTGTGTTGTATTGGTACTTTGTCACTCTTCCAAGGAAAATGCATTTTAAGCAGTCACTGTCTGCATGCTCAGCTGCTTCAGTCGTATCTGACTCTTTGCGACCCCATGGACTATAGTCCCCCAGGCTCCTCTGTCCATGGGATTCTCCAGGTAAGAGTACTTGAGTGGGTTGCCATTTTTCACTGTCTGTCAACACAGAAACATGTGTTTATGAATACATGCATGACTATATATATATATATATATATATATACAGTGTGTGTATACATGTATACACATAAAAATGTATCTTTATTTTAGATTACTAGGCACTCAGTCTTCATTTTCTCACTTAATATTATAGTACTTTAAGTGTGTAAAAACTATATTTTAGACCCAAGCCTGTCTTCTATTTACTTTTCTCAATTTCATTCACTCACCATCATTCACAAGGTCTAAATCCATATGAAATTTGTTTTCCAATTATATATATATTTCCTCATGTTGTCTAAAACTAAGATTTCAAAAATAATGACAGAAGTTCAGCTTATACATTATGTTAAAATGTATTACCATTAATTGTTCCTCCAAATATAATTTCCTCCAGATGTACAAATTGAGTTGGTATGATTCAAATTCATGAACTTTGTATATTTTACAGATAGATTAGGCATGAGTCATTTAGAATCATGGTTTACAATTTAAAAGCTGAGTCATTATATAAAATGAGGAATAGCATTGCAAATGCAATTCTATTTTGTCTTCACGGCACCCAAAATTTTCCATTAGAAAAAGTAAACCTGAAGAAAGGGAGCATGTCATGCACCTTTTTACGTGTTTTACTGCCATCTGCTTGCAGGTAGATTCTGGAAAACTTTTAAAATTCCTTTAATTTGTGTATGCCAAAGCCCAGTTGCTTTATTTTCTCAGTAACCCTGAGTTCTCATCTTGTCTTCTTTCTTCTTTAAATTGAGCAGCCCTAATCTAAGTCATTGTTTTTCTTTGAGGTCTTTTGAAAAGTAATAAGCATGACTCTAAAGCAGGGAAATCCATTAAAAATTACAGAAATTTGGTATTCAAAACTATACCCTTCAAAGTTTGCATTCCAAAATCAGGTTTATGAAACATTACTTTTAACAAATATATTTGGTTAAAAAGTGTATTACTGGAGTGTATAGAATGCATTTCTGGAGTGAATACACAGTGTCTTCTGGATCTGGAATATTATGGTTTAGGATAAAAAAGGTAAATTCATAACATAAAGAATTTGAAATAATTCTCATAATAGTCTATTTAATTAAATTTGTTTTCTAATGATTCTTATGTGTATTTCAAGCATTTATCCCAAAGTTACACATTCATTTCTAAAGACACCAAAGTGTAGTTTGTCCAAAACCCCAACAATGAATTAAGCATCTTCTCGGTACCAGGCATCTGAGAACACTGCAAGATGCTAAGATGAATATATCATGCCTCCTTCAAGATGATCAAACATGTGCAAAATTAAGGTACATAATGAAAGTGAAAGTCGCTCAGTTGTGTCCGATTCTTTGTGACCCCCTGGACTGTATAGTTCATGGAATTCTCTAGGCCAGAATACTGGAGTAGGTAGCCTTTCCCTTCTCCAGGGGCTCTTGCCAACCCAGAGATTGAACCCAGGTCTCCCTCATTGTAAGCGGACTCTTTACCAGCTGAGCCACAAGGGAAACCCAAGAATACTGGAGTTGGGGTAGCCTATCACTTCTCCAGTGGATCTTCCCGACCCAGGAATCAAACTGGGGTCTCCTGCACTGCAGGCATTCTTTACCAACTGAGCTATCAGGGAATATAAGATACACCTAAATATACAAAGATGCAATATACCATATAATGGTTAAATACACAAAAGCACATGGTAAGAGGTGAAGGAATAATTAATTCCACTGATGTGGTGAGTGAACAAGGGACAGCTCCAAAAAGTGGTTCAACTCTCATTTGGTCCTTCATTAATAGGTAAAAAGCAAAAGAAACAGGTGAAAAATAAACCAACTGTATATTTAGGAGAAAAGGAGAGGAAAAGGATTGAGGTAGATAGAACAGCTGAAGTACAAAGATAGAAATAGGGAAAGATGAGGTTTTATGTGGAAATAGCAAACAATCTAAACTGATTAGAAACAATTGTACTTGGTACTGTTGGCATAAGTTATGAGGGATGGGAAATAGAAGAGGAGCTTTAAAAGAAACTGAGGCTGTTTCAGGATTACTAATAGCATTTTAACTTTATTGTGTAGGCAACTAAGAGTAATTGAAAATAAACAAATGCATGTATTATTTGAAGCTACCTTTTAAAAAAATAACCCCTGACCTTTTATTTTCTATTAAAGTATAGTTGATTTACAATATTATATTCATTTCAGGTGTATAACATAGCGGTTCAATGTTCTTGTAGATTATACTCTATTTAAAGTTATTATAGAATAAAGGTTATATTTCCATGTGCTGCACAATAATTCTTGCATTTTTTCAACTGAAGCATAGTTGATTTATAATTTTGTACTAATTTCCACTGTACAACTAAGTGACTCAATGAAATAGTGCTTCAGTGAACACTGGGGTGCATGTGTCTTTGAGTTTCAGTTTTGTCCAGGTATATGGCCAGGAATAGGATTACTGGGTCATAAGGTACTTCTGTTTTTAGTTTTCTGAAGAACCACCAGACAGTTTTCCATAGTGACTATAACCAGTTTATATTCCCACCAACAATGTAGAAGGGTTTCCTTTTCTCCATAACCTCTCCAGCACTGGTATTTGTAGACTTCTTGATAAAGTGTCATTAAGTGTCATTCTAATCAGTGTCAGGTGGTGCCTTGTAGTTTTGACTTGCATTTCTTTAATAATTAGTGACATTGAGCATTTTTTTCATGTGTCTACTGTCTATCTTTGTGTCTTCTTTGGAGAAATGTGTTTTAGGTCTTCTGCCCATTTTTTGATTAGGTTGTTTGTTTTTAATGTTGTATGAGCTCTTTGTATATTTTGGAAATTAAACAATTTTGGTTTCATCATTAGCAAATATTTTCTCCCATTCCATAGGTTGTCTTTTTATCATTTCCTTTGCTGTACAACATCGTGTACATTTTTTGTTTTTATTTCTGTTACCCTGGGAAGCTCCTTGAATTTTATTAATTTTAAATGCAGTAGTTTGTACCTCTTATCACCTTACCCCCATCTTGCTCCTACCTCCTCCACTTTCCCCAGTGGTAACCTCTAGTTTGGTCTTTATGAGTCTATTTCTTTATGCTATATTTATTCTTTTTTTTTTTTTTAAGATTCTACACATCAGTAATAGCATACAGTATTTGCCTTCTCTATCTGACTTATTTCACTAAGCATAATACCCTTGTTGGTCCATTCACATTTTTGCAAATGACTGAATTTCAATATTTTGTACTGATGAGTAATATTCCTGTGTGTGTGTGCTTCTATGTGTGTGTATGCTACACCTTTATTCTGATAGGATGGTGATAGATGGAAAGATGAGGAACTGGAAGATAAAAGATTATTCAGATTTTTAAAAATACTTCAAGATCATTAACAGTGAGAACT